ATTACTACAGGTATAAGCTAAAGCTATACAATAAAGAAATTCCAAAAGCTAAAAGGAATTCATGGAGAGAGTTTTGCGAGAAGATTACAGATATCCCGGCATGTTCTCGAATCCATAAGTCCTGTCATCCCGAAACAATTCTGGATGATGTGCAGATAGGCAAACCAATATAGACCAAAGGCTGACTAGGCCCAGGTCTATAGATTGGGAAGTGGCCACAGCAATTACAAGAGCAAACAGAAATAGATAGGCTATAAATAAGTTTCGGCCATATAAGTCTCCACAGACAGATAGCATATATCCAATACTGTTGCATATGGGATTAGAGGTATTCATATCACACCTACGCAAGCTCTTCAAAGCCAGTTTAGCATAGGGTGTCGTACCGGAAATATGGCAAAAGGTTAAAGTCATATACTTGCCTAAGGTAGATAAAGTATCAGACTTAACACCAAAGTCATATAGACCGATAAACCTATATTCTTTTCTATTAAAAACGCTAGAAAGGTTTCTTGATATGTACATCAGAGACGAAGTGCTAAAACATAATCCTCTAAGCAATCGTCAATATGCATACTAATCTAGTAAATCTATAAACTCTGCGTTGGATCATCTTATCTCAAAGTCAATGGAAAACAAAGATATAGCAATGGTCGCTTTTTTAGATATAGAAGGGGCATTTAATAATGTTACTACCTGCTCTTTGATAGGAGCTATGAGTAAAAGAGGCGCACTTGCAGTAATATGCCGATAATGGCATCCCTGGAGAATAGGACAGTAATGTCCACTCTGGGTAAAGCATCCATCAAAGCAAAAGTAGGTGAAGGCTGTCCACAAGAAGTTCTGTCTCCTCTACTTTGGCAACCTTGGTAGATGATCTCCTCAGAAATCTGTCCACAGAAGGCTTTTATTGTCTGGGATATGCCGACAATATAGCAATCGTTGTCAGGGGCAGGTTTGCTTTAGTGGTATCTAAGAGAATGCAAGTAGCATTAAATATAGTTGACGACTGGTGTAAACAAGAGAGATTGATAGTCAATGCTCAGAAACACCAATCGTCAACTTCACAAAAAAAAAACAGCACTACAAGACCTAAAACCACCGGTGCTGGAAGGAATAGAGATTTCATTTGCCAAAGAAACAAAATACCTTGGGATGTATGTAATACTTACATTCTGAAAACCACACAGAAAGCTACTATGTCTCTGTGCAAATGTAAAAGAATGTACAGTAAGAATTGAGAACTTAAGCCCAAAATGACTATGGTTATACACAAGGGTTATTAGACCAATGATACCCTATGACTCGGTGACGAGGTGGATAAAGACGCAGCAAGAGTGAGCTACAAGGCTGCTAGGTAATACACAAAGGCTAGCATGCCTGTGTATTACGGGGGCCATAAAAATAACTCCTACTGCATCGTTGGAAGTCCTGGTGAATCTACCACCACTTCATATCTTTATACAGCGCAAAGCCAGATCAGTGATGCACAGATTAATCCATAGTCAGCGACATATAAGCCAGATGCATGGTGCTGACAACAAAAAGCTAATCGAGGAGCTAAATGCCGATATTGTGATGGGGCAACCAATCAATGCAACAGCTACGAGATATAGCTTTAACAATAAGTTCACAATTAAGATACCAGGCAGAGAAGACTGGAATAAAGGTGTACCTATACAAGCTTCTGCTATCTGGTACACGGATGGCTCAAAAATATTGGAGGGTGTGGGAGCCGGCATAGTAGGGACAAAGCAAGAGATACATTTCCCGGTAAGTCTATCTAAGGACGTGACTGTTAAGGCAGGAAAGAACGTTCCGTTCCGTTGCCATCTTCACAGAGTCAAGCAGCGCTTAAGGCACTCAGTTCTGTAGAGGTAAATTCTAAGCTAGTATGGGATTGTGTGTGTGCCCTAAATAAACTAGGAGACCGTAACAAAGTTACGGTAGCCTGGGTACCGGGGCACTAGGGTCATAAGGGCAATGAAAAAACAGATGAAATGGCCAAACAAGGCTCATCAATGCCATTCATTGGACCGGAACCCTTCTGCGGCGTTGCAAAGACAGTAACAAGAACGGCTACAAGGAAGTGGGTAGCTCACAAATCTGGAATGGTGGGGGAATTCGCCAGGACAAAGACAGGCGAAACAGTTCATTACAAAACATTCCCCAAAATTTACGGCAAAGCAAATAAGCAAAGACAGGAAAACAGTCAAAGCCATAGTAGGTCTTCTAACAGGGCACTGTAAGCTTAATAGGCACTTGAAGCTGATGGGATTATCAGAATATGACCGGTGCAGATTCTGTCACCTCGAAGAAGAAACACCAGAGCACATTCTACAGAGCGACAGTATGACAGTCTGGCTAATGTGCGATTCTTTGCATTAGGAGAAAAAAATCCACCGGAAGGTACAGTCTCGAAGCTATTAAACTTTTTAAAAAGGGTCAGGCTAGAGAATGTTATCTAGGACTAGATGACCATAACAGATCTGAAAAGGTCACAGTGGAATAGACCAAAAGGCTCTCTAAATCTATCTATATATCAAGTAGAAAAGTAATCAAAATAGTTTAAGAAATAATGCTGAGCACTTTAAGACGCTCACAACATGATCCAGAAAACAATACACCTCAACAATGCATGGGCAGATAAAACAAAAACTACGTTTATTCATGCCGCGTAAGGAGATACAAAATTAGTAATAATCGGAAATGCTACAATACACTAAGAGCCGATCTTAAGGAGTCGGTGGCATGTAAAGACTTACTGTGCCGCCCCTCTCCAGAGAATGTTTCATATTTTTATTAATATGACATATTAACGATGAGATAAACTCATTTACCCGTCTAATAATAAAACACTAATAAAAATGCAAAAAAAATTGAAACGCAAAAGTATATTATTTGGCCAACACAGATATAATAGTAAAAAAATGTTTTACCAATTATACTAAAAATAAAACATTTTACATAAAAATAGACATTTTATAATTAGAAATACAAAACAACAGTATTTAGTCAGAACATAGAATCTAATAACAAAAAGTAATTAGGCAGAAATCTCGTGAAACGAAATGTATATTTATAAATCAGTTCTTCTATAAAAACTACCTAATAGTCCTTATATTTATTTATAAACTAAGGTCTCTAGCTTTCCGCAAAGCAAATTTGTCAATAATTTCGGTGATATCAATGGTTTCAGAGAATTCGTATTCGGTATAGATGATACAGACAGCCATATCTGTAAGCCATCCTTGTGCCATATTAGTTCTTAATAATGTTAAATTTACTGAAATTTCTTTGGCCCGAAGCCACAGAAAAAGGTAAGGTTAACAAAATTCTTAATACGAGAGCGAAATTTTTGACTATAATTTTTATATTATTGCAGTTGACTGATTTTATCCTGGAAAAATATGTTTGAATAAAGTTCTTATAACGTTATGTACCTTTTGTATCTTTTTGTATCTACGATACTTTCTTTCTTCTGTACCTATAACTTAATATTAAAGTCCATGGGGGGTTTTCATAAAGGTATGATTAGTAATATTATGAAACTCATACAGAAAGCAGAACATTGAATACGACTCAGATAATAAGGTAAATATTTCAATTACCGAGAAAATGGCCTGTTCACGAATTGCAAAATAGCAAGCAGTATCAACTGTTGGGCGGGATTTGAAACTGGTGCATCGCTGCCTTCGTAATTTAATAAACGGACCTTTTCGTTAACTTAGGATAGGATATGAAATAGACAGGATAGGATAGGAAATTCAGGATCAATACCTAAATCTGTAGCAAGTATTGTTGCTAATTCGACAAATACTTTAAAACTATTGTTAGATCTTTGGACTTCCAAATATTTTCTAAGATTATCTAAGACTTAAATGCCTACAGCGATCTTTAATTTGAATTTGAAGATTTACCTTTATATCATTATTAGAGTCATTAATTCTTGATAATAAGGCATATCAAATTGAAAATGAACACGAAAATTTAAATATTTCTAGATTTTTAATTATTGGTTTAGCACCTATTTTTGTTTTAGTGTTTCCGATGGGATTTTCAATAAAGGCATTTAATGTACTAATATGTTCTTTAGGTCTTTTAGTTTAGTTTAGGTCTAATACCATCCATACAACTTTCCCACCATGAAATTTCATCACTAGACCTGACAGCGTCATTAACGACGAGATTTAAGCCGGGTACGCACATGCCAGTAAATTGGGGAAGTAGCTACCATAGGCCAGTAACTGGCTAACACAAAACACATTTGCTAGTAATTGGCATGCCAGTAGCTCGCTAGTCTATACTGGCAAGGCGACAAAGCAGGGCAGATTTATTATACACCACGCAATTAACCTTAGTAGATGACATAACACCTCTTAAATTGAGACAAAAAGAAATATGCAAAAAACGTCTATCTAAAGTAGAAGAAACGTGCATTTAGATAGGAAATCCGCAGCATGGACGGCATCCGAATGAAGTCAAGACTATCTCGACAATACATCGTCGAAAAATAGGTTGACAATAAGATGATGTGTACCGAAACAGAAGGATTGGTGTCCTCTCGTATTCAAAAAATTGGTACCGCTCGCGACTTAAGAAAAACTTTGGAGATAGCCTTCATGCTGTTTCATAATATGCCCTCATTAAAACTAATATATAATTTTTCACTTTAAACAAAAACTTTAAAAAGACTTTCAATATAGAAATGTTTGTCGAAATGGTTTCAAAACTTATAAAAATCAAATAAAAAGATTCTAACACGAGTTCTAATAGTTTAAGTTTTTTCCAAGAGAAATCTTGGAATACCTACTATTTAAGTATATACTTATGTAAAGACAAATACCAACTAAAATGTACAAATTATTTCAAAAAACACTCGGCTTGATACTTAAAAGTAATATCTTCCATTAATATTGGAATAATATATCAAAATGTCTTCTCACATTCTTATAAATAATTGTCTCATTCAAATATATCTATTAAATTTAAACACTTACCATATCAACTCTTTGAAACCAGTCCATATTGGGATCAAATGCTTGTCTGTGTGTTATGTTTTTACCTTGATAAGGAAAAATTGCACCAGGCCACATCATAGATGCAGAATATCTATCATTACCTTGGTCTTCGTTCCATCTCTATAAATAACAATATTTGTTCTTTTATAACGGAAACCTAATCAGAAACTTTAATATAATTTATTATTAACACTGCTAGTTAAAAATAAGTTTAAAAACAAAAAAAAACATGAAATTGTATTATGTATCAATTGAAAAAGTGAAAATATTTATAGTACTTATAAATTTTTCTTCAGAAAAATAGATGATCTAATAGAGACATTAACTACATATAAATGGTTACAATTAAAACAGACCACTACCTAAATATTGTGGATATCTCTTTCCCTCAGCATAAGATGAGAGCCAAGATTCTTAAGTTGCTGACTATGAGATACTTAGTATTACGATAAATATGTCTCATAAACATTATTTTTAATTCTGATATGTTATATGTCTAGATTGTACGATCCTTCGATGAGAACCAGCTGGCAGAAATTTCAGGTAATACCTGACCGGTCTCGTACAATTCGAAGTTTCCAGAAGAAGGTCGAATAAAAAAATCAGTCCGAATGACCTTTGAGTCTGGGGAATCGCCGGAATTCTCCATTAACTGTATTTAGTATAAATATAGAGGAACCTTTTATTTTAGTTCAGTTAGTTTTAGTTATAAAGTCGAGTTTTTAGATCGAGATATAATTGTAAGCGAATATAAATAAATATTGTGAGATAAATTAGTGAACATTAATAAAGACTTTAATAAGTTTGTAAGTGTTATAAATAGAACCTTTAATAATAAATAAAGACAATAAAATATAATTAATAAAAATACTACAGTGGTGTCAGAAGTGAATTGTGAAAATGACTTTATAAGCTCACATTTACGGATTTAAGAAGATATCTCGAGGACGGAGAATTAGCTTCTACCGGAAAAAAGGCTGATTTAGTCCAACGACTAAAGAACGATTTGAAAGAAGAGGATTTAGACCCGGAAACTTATATATTTGAAGACAAACATGCTGCTGTCATCTCGTCGATTTCCAAAGTTTCTGGTGACATCGTATCATTAGAGAACAAAGTTTCTGGTAACATCACATCATTAGAGAACAAAGTTTCCGGCGACATCGCTTCTTTAGAAAACAAAGTTTCTAACGAGATTTCTTCTCTGGAAAGCAAAGTTTCTGCTAACATTACTAAAGTCACTTCTGAGATGTCTGCCCTCGACGATAGAATATCTTCGTTAAAAAAATCAAGTTGCTGCCGATAAGTTGGCCTTCGAAGAAAAGATGAAAGAGTTGGAAAAGAAGATGAAAGAAACAGGGACAGCAGAGGACAGGAGAGGAAACAATTCAATTAAAGTAGAGACAAAAGAAGACGAGGCGAAATATAAGTTGGAAACACGGCCGAAATTTGAAGAAAGTGGAGTGGTTCGTGTCAAAGTCCCAACTTTCGACGGAAAATCGTCATGGAAAAACTACATGAAACAGTTCGAATCAGCTGCAAGAGCGAATGGATGGTCTGAAAAAGGAAATGCTGTAAACCTGACTATCGCTCTTCGAGGAGATGCCTTAGATGTGCTTCAGACCATAGCCGTAGAGGAGACGGATGATTTCGAACAACTCAAGAAGGTAAATATGCGAATGCCACGAACAGTTGGAGCATGTATATCAGTCGCAGCTTAAAAATCGAAGACAAAAGAAAGATGAGGCTCTCCAATAATATGAGGTAGATATTGCAAGATTAGATCGAGAGCAACAGCTCTCGAAGACATGATGGAAAAGTTGGATGTTCAAACGTTTATTGATAGTCTTTGTGATCATGAAATGCAGAGAACACTGCGATTAGCCCGTCACAAGACGCTGGTTGATGTCTTATCCGCCGCCCTCAAATACGAGTCAGCTACGTAGGCCTCTGGTGGGTACAGTAAAGTTATTGACTGTAAAGGAGGAAGGAGATGAAGATAAACTTGACCAGCTCGTTAATATGATGAAAAGTATAACATACAAGAAAACGATGACCGTAAGATGCTGGAATTGTGGCGAAATAGGAAACGTACGAAGTTCCTGTAAGCACCCTAGGTACGACGCAAATCAAGAAACTCACCATCAGGAAAACTAGAACGGGTCGGCCTTAGGGGGGCAGCTTCGAACCGGAACTTTTCCAAAGACCCTCTCCTACTAATAGCTTCTTTGAAATATCGTGAAGATAGTGTATATGTAGAAGGAGAAAAAAATGGTAAAAGACATATGTTGTTGGTGGATACCGGAGCGACCAGAACCATTATACGCCCGACAGTTATAAACAGCCGTAAGAAACTGTTACCAACGAGGTTGCCACTTCGGACCGCTACAGGTGAAAATGGAAATTTCTCCATTCATGGAGAAATCCAGGTACAATTAGGAATTGGAGCAGAAAAGTTCGTCCATGCTGTTATAGTTGCTGACATCGAAGAGGATGTTATATTAGGAATGGGCGTAATGAATACGCATGGATTCCAATTGGATTTCAAGAATAAGGTAATCAAAGTTGGTAACGAGGAGGTATTTCTTCATCCACATGATGACAACACAAAGAAAGAGACGAAAGTAGAAACTTGTGTACCTGTGACATCCATAATCCGTCAGACGACAACATCTGATAATTCCAACGACAAATTCGACCAAATGGTTGCAGTTGCTGGACGGTCTCTAAATCAGATTGAGAAAAGGAAATTAAGGAAATTTTTTCGGCAGTATCGTGATATTTTCGTACCGAAAGGAGGAAAGACGGGAAGAACTACCGTTGTTAAGCATAAAATTGATATTGGTAATGCTAAGCCAATTCGTCAAACAGCTCGACGATTACCACAGGCGAAAAGAGAGGAAGCTGAAACGATTGTTCAGGAAATGAAGAAAGACGTTGTGATAGAACCTTCTACGAGCCCATGGGTCTCTCCGGTGGTCCTGGTTAAGAAGAACGACGGAACGACGAGGTTCTGTGTGGATGACCGTTTGCTGAACAACGTTGCCAAGAAAGATAGTTATCCTCTACCTCGGATCGACCACACGTTGGACACATTGTTTTCTACTTTGGATTTGAAGTCTGGATACTGGCAGGTAGAAATGGACCCAGTAGATAAAGAGAAAACAGCCTTCACCACAGGATCTGTATTGTGGCAATTCAATGTTATGCCATTTGGACTCTGTAAGCTCCTGCGACATTTGAGAGGCTTATGGAAAATGTGTTGAGAGGGTTATCTTGGAAAACATGCCTGGTTTATCTAGATGACATAATCGTCTTGGGAGAGACATTTGAAGACCATCTAAAGAATTTAGAAAACGTTTTTATTCGACTTAAAGCTGCCCAATTGATGTTAAACCCCAAGAAGTGCAAAGCTATTTCAAGGTAAAGTCAATTATCTGGGTCATATAGTCAGTAAAGAAGGAGTGGCCGTGGATAAGGGAAAAATCAATTCCATTAAGGAATGGGCAGAACCAACTGACAAACATCAAGTGAGAAGTTTTCTTGGATTATGTACTTACTACCGGAGGTTTATTAAGAAGTTTGCAGATATCGCTAAGCCATTAACGCGACTCACAGAGGAAGCAAGAGATTACCGCTGGGATACAGACTGCCAAAATGCCTTTGAGACCTTGAAAAAGCATTTAATAACAGCACCAATTTTAGGGTGTCCCACTGCCAGAAGGAGAGTTCATCTTAGATACAGATGCAAGTAATGTGGGAATTGGAGGAGTGCTGTCTCAGATTCAAGGAGGACAGAAAGAGTTCTTGGATATTTTAGTAAAGTTCTTTCAAAACCTGATCGGAATTATTGCGTCACGAGAAGAAAACTTCTAGCAGTAGTGAAATCAGTAGAGCACTTCTATCAATACCTCTATGGAAGAAAGTTTTTAATCCGAACCGGCCATGCCGCCCTTAAGTGGTTGATGCAGTTTAAGAATCCAGAGGGTCAAATAGCCAGATGGATCAAACAACTCCAAGAATATGATTTCAAGATTGAGCACCGGGCAGGAGTTAGGTAATGGTAATGGGAGGATAAATTTTTGTTTTATTGGAAGAGCTATTACTTTAAGCAATTACTGTATTTAACAACATGTCTGATAGCTGATGAGCTGATAACGAAGATATGGTTGAATCAGCATTTACCAGCAGAGCAGATTAGCAGTATTATTAGGAAACCAGTTAGAATGTAGAAACTACTGTGGAATCATACTGTTGAACGCAGCATGCCCAATAATGTCCAATATCATTTATGAGAGGCTTAACCACACACTGAAAAAATACTTGGCAAATACCAATGTGGCATCTACACACAGAAGTTCAACAGATATTTGTTCTACTAGAGATCCTCAAAAAAACTGTGTTAATATAACATCGACACACATTATCTCTATAGTTTTCAAAAGAACATTTGAAAATATACACTGGATAGTAGAAAGTAAGATCTGGATACAAAACAAATTAACGGAAACAAGAGACTGCCTATCATTCATTTGGATATACACCAGGTGCAAAAAATCGATCATGACATTTCCAATTTATTGCTATTTTTAAAACTTGGACTTATTATATGGCATATATAAATTCAGAGAAACTAATTTTAGAGAAAATAAGCAGTGAGAAAATAATTTGTTATCATAGTTATTTTAACAAACAGGTCAATTTGGTATTAAACGTTTTGAATTCAGAATTTTTAATTATATTAAAATGACATTAACACCAACAAATGCTGCAAGAGCCGTGGCTTTAGTGAAAGATGGCTGTAGCCAATATTATGCTGCCCAAGTGCTAAGTGTAAGACTTTGTACTGTTCAAAGTGCCATTCAGTAGTTCAATCAAAACGGCAACTACACTAGAAGGTCAGGATCAGGCAATAGAAACAAAATATATTCAGGCAAGTAAAAATACAGAAATATGGCAGCTACAAAATTTAATAATAGGAGCATATAATATTTCAGAGGTACAAAAACTTTAAATACTTAGGATCCCTAGTTACCTCTGACAACAACATTGCAGAGGAAGTGAAAAGGTGAATATTCATTGCTAATAAATGTATTAAGCAAACAACTGACCTTAGGAAATAGAA